GAGTGGGGAATCCAAAAAACTTGATCCAAGGAGATGGAGTCTTGGTATTATCGAGAAATTTTGGGGTGGGAGTGAAAGTGAGAGGGGTAATCCAAAAATTTGATCCAAGGAGATGGAGAATTTCGAAAACCCCATAGGGGGGATCCAAAAAACTTGATCCGAGGAGATGGAGTCATGGTATTGTCGAGAAATTTTTGGGGTTGGGGGGTGAAAGTGGGAGGGGGATCCGAGGAAGTGGAGACTTTGATATTGAGAACCCCATAGGGGGGAGTATCCAAAACTTGTATTATCGAGAAAATTTGGGGATGGGGGGTGAAAGGAGGGGTACCCAAAAAACTTGATCCAAGGAGATGGAGAATTTGATTTCGAGAAATTTTGGGATGGGGGGTGAAAGTGAGAGGGGGAACCTCAAAAATTTGATCCGAGGAGATGGAGTCATGGTATTGTCGAGAAAATTTGGGGTGAAAGGAGGGGTACCCAAAAATTTGATCCAAGGAATTGGAGAATTTCGAAAACCCCATAGGGGGGAATCCAAAAACTTGGTAATATTGAGAAATTTTTGGGATTGGGGGGTGGAAGGAGGGACAATCCAAAAAAAAACCTTGATCCAAGGAGATGGAGAATTTCGAAACCCCCATAGGGGGGAATCCAAAAACTTGGTAATATCGAGAAATTTTGGGATGGGGGTGAAAGTGAGAGGGGGAACCTTAAAAACTTGATCCGAGGAGATGGAGAGCACAAGAAAATGAAATTCAAAAAAAATTCGAAAAAAATCGGAAAAAAATTCGAGGCGCGGGGGCGATCCGGACGACGCTGCAGAAGGCGCAGCAGAAGGCGCGGGCGGGGGCTCGCGAAGGGCGCGGGCGGGCGCGCGGGCGGGCGCGCGGGCGGGCGCGCGGGCGCGGGCGCGGCGCGAAGGGGTGGTCGCGAAGGGGGGGGGTCGTGGGCGGGGGTATTGGTTGGGGGGTCAAGGGTGAGGTAGTCTCGAGGGCGAGGTCATGGTCAAAACCGGAAGTAACACCTAGGTGTGAAAAGGTGACCCTCCAGCCGCTGGTCCTAGACCGGAAGGGATGCCCCAGAGGTGGCCTAAACCGGAAGGGATGCTCCAGTGGAAGGCCCTAAACCGGAAGGGATGCTCCAGAAGAAAAGTACACTACTTATATATATAATTAGATGGTTGCTGCGTCATACTGACAATAATTATATGCAGAATATGAAATTATGAGCTGCTTAATGGTGCCTCACTTAATGATAGAGAGCATAAAGAATAAGGAATAATTTAAATTAAAGACACTTAATGTGGAAAATTGCATTTACTTGGATGTATCATTATATACATAACAGTAAATGGACATAGATAATTATTATTTATCAGTTAGACAAGTAGGAATTTGGGACACCTAGGTCGCAAAAATGTCCCCCTTCGATACCTACCACTGTCATATCCACAAGTTGCTCTGGACCTATTAATTACTGATGAAATATACATCACCAGGAATGCTGGTAAATATATAAATTTGTGGACTGTATATTAAATTAAAAAAATGATATATAAACACATTTACATAACAGAAGGAAAATATCTTAATCATAACACTCACCAATTTGACTGGAGATTAATGTGTCATGTACAGGACCCCCCCTTTTGCCTACATTTATGAAAAATTTACTGGCCAGAAATTAAACATAATTTAGACAGCTTATCTGAGGTTCCTGGAGTTGTCCTGTCCTGTCGCCTGATTCTCAAATTATGCAGGAATGCACATCCAACAATTTCGCCTCCTATTTGAGAGGTGTCAGCCCAATTTTAACCTCTAGAGCACGAAAAATTCTTCCCATTATTCACAACGTGTTATTCAATTCAAACAAAATGGCGACTGTCCTCTTTTTAAAAATACACTTTTATTAAATACAATATAGGGCATCTATTTACCTATAAATTACCGTATTTCCGGAAAATATACAGTAGTATTTTCCACACTTCAAGTTATGGAAGAACATAACTCGTAGTACCATTCTCTTAGAAGATAAGTTTTGATAACGATGGAAATATATATTTACCTCAGGCAAGTGGAAAGTAATGTCTGCTGTGAATACATTGAAAAAGACACTGAAAATTTGTTGTGTGTTATTAGAGTGTAGTGATGCTTTCTTTCCATTAGGCTTTTTTCCAGTGTTCTTAATTTGATAATTAGTTCCGTCGAACACAGTGCCTAAGCGAAATTGTAAATTCATGTCGAATTAAGGATAAAATTCTCCTGTTTTCGAAGACTCACTACTTCAGGTCGCACGTGTGTTGTGAACCTTCGGCTCACAACCGAAGGAATCGAGTTAGATCTTGAGGTAGGTGAAGAGCTATGCATGTTTAAGTGCAACAGTTACACCTCTTGGCCTAGCAGTAAATAGGTACCACATTACCATCTTGGTCACCTCTCATTCACTGTCTCCACAGGTATAACACTGGTGGTGGTGGTGTTGCTGCCGTGGGCGGCGCGGACAGAGAAGCAGGGTGCCCACCTGGCGGGCGTGGGCATGATAAGTGCCCTCACAGCCTCTGTGGTGTGTCTTTGTGGCTGTTTGGCCAAGATGGCCGACCAGCATCATGTCGGTAAGATGGATAACTTCTCTTTTTTTTTTTAATATTAGTCTATAAATAATTTTCAGCTTATATAACGAAGACGTTGTAAATTTACCAGAAAGTCAAATAACTGAAAAATAAACTGTAGCAGTAGCAAACAAGTTTTATGATTTGGGAGTATTAGAGCTACATTCTTCCCTATAACTTTAACATTTTCGTTTTATTGTATATTTTTTTAATTACTAATGGTTATAATCATAACCATAGTTTTTAAAGGGGTGGTCTGGTAAGCCAGCGGAAGGCCTCGGTCAGATGACCAAAAGCTCCAGCGGCGGATCATCATACGTCTAAGACCCGCATCTAGAAACACTTGTCCTGTTTCTTGACAACCCTTACCTAACCTTATATATTTCATTACTCTTGTGACTATCATACATAGGGATCTCAGGAGAGGCAGCAGGAGGAAGCAGCAGCAGCAGCAGCAGCAGCAGACTCGACAGCAGATGGTTGGTGTTCGCACGACGGGTGGTGCTGAGGATAAAACGGCGCATCCTGGGGTTCGAAACACTCTATATGAAGATGAAAGTAACGTCCATCTTGGTTAATCAGGTGAGTTGAGACTACAGTAGCAAGACAGATACTGAACTCTGGTTGAGGAACAGGACCATGAGTCTTGGTTATTTATAAGGCCTATCACGAGAAGACGGGGGGGGGGGATTTAGAATCAATATGTTTAGGGGTAACTGAAGTCTGCAAGTGATAGCCGAAGTCAGACAAGAACATGAAGTTAGAATAGCAAGATTATTATTATAATCAAAAAGAAGCGCTAAGCCACAAGGGCTATACAGCTAGAATAGCAAGAGAATCTAAAATCGATCGTAAAGTGATTTTCCAGATTTAAGAACTATATACCCTAATAATAAATACTGTGAAAGGAGAGTTGCACTCAAACCTGTCTCCAAGCATGATAATGACAGAAACTTGTACTGTATTTAAAAAAAAACTATATATTATATTTCTTCACACAGGATGCAAATGAAATTCAGAAAAATAAAAATTATTGAGCTAATAAAAATAAAGATCACAGTCACTAGTGACTTGCTTTACCAATGTGTTCATTAAAACTGAACAACTTTCTGATTCCGGAAAAACGTAAAGCCATTGGAGAGTTTCTTTAATATATACCTGACTTAACATTGCTAAAATTAATACAGTGTGCCTGAAGGATTTTTGTGGGGGTCAGCGGCCGGGTCCCAGACCAGGCCTTCTATCCATCCTATGTAAAGTCAGCCAAAATTGTTAATATTTATAATGCTTGTTGAAGAAGTCAGTCAGCAAGCTCGGTTTGAAGAGCAATACAGTTATAGTTCAACCATATATTTTTGGATAAGCCTCGCCTTGAATGGAACAGTTTCTGTTTTTGTATTACAAAATGAATATAAATGAGCTGGAAAACATGCAGAGGATTTTTCAATCAAAGACTAAAAACACTGATGCTCTGATAAAGCGGAGAAAGTGGGACGATGGGGGATGAGGAGAATATGATTGGAAACTATTAATAAGTAAAACGGATATAAAGAAAGTGCCGAAAATACCTAACCAAGAGAGAGCTCGCAGTTATGGATCAGCTCAGATTTACGAAGGATTAGAACACTGGTTTGGCAACAGATTTATTTACGAGTGAAACATACTCACATTCCATGACAATAACCATTCACGGGTTCAGTGATTTTCAAAATATATTAATAATAATTTAGAGAGACTTAAAAAATAGGTTAAACAAATATAAAGTGAGAATGGCTGGGTGTAGGTTGAATGAACCCAATACTCCTCTGATTTTATTGTCTAAATCTTTTCACATCATCGTGTGTTTCTCTCTTACCAACAGCTTGTGTTCTTCAGTATGTGTGACCGTGTCCTCATGACGAACCAGCGATTATCGAGTTTGTACACTCTGCTGTTCTTCAACGTGGTGGCTTACTCTGTTTCCTACGTCAAGGTGAGGCAGGGCAACCTTGTTCTCATGAGTGAACAGCGTCAGAATAGTAATTGTGTAGATAAGGATTTTGATATTTTGCCCCAAGCGCCGAGTATATTGGGCAGCGTCACTCATCTTGTAAGTGAACTTTCCATGGTGAGGTGTTTATCTTGGTGTAAATTCCTATTTTAGGGCTTTAAAGTATACTTGTTTTCAGTGTCTGGATAAACTGTGTCCATTATGACTGATGTTCATCCATAACTTTAATACACCAATTCAAGGTCAGGTTAATATTTAGTTAACACGGTAGAGGAAATCTATGTATAATATGGATTTTCCCGCATCTGGGAGATTTTTACCTTTTTTGATTATGATATAACGTAATTCAAACTCATTTTAACGTATTAATTACGTTGATGCCATATATTTCTATGAAAAAAATAAATATATTGGTTGTTGTTATTTACTAAAACTCGTAAACGTACTGATCCATTCCTGCGCACCTCAGGAGCTGGTGGAACGGGAGGACTGGTCTTTGTACGTGAACATTGCAAGGACGTCCACTGTACGTCATCTAGCCCTCTCTGCCACCAAGATCGTACTCGAGTGGACTAAGGCCATCACTTTCATCATCACCGTCGTCTTCATGCTCCTCGTCTTTGGCTTGGAAAAGGGCCTCAAGAACTACTCTCCGACCACAGGTTACCTCCTTGTCACCGGCATCTACTTTATTTCCACCGAGAAAGTCTTCACTGACATGTTCGCAACTTGGCTGGACAATAGAAAGTTTGAATACTTTGAAAGCATGGAGAGTTTCTACTGTCCGGCAATTCTCATATCCTTTCATATCTTTTTATCATCAATAATTACTGTTATTTGCGTCTTTACCGGCAATTTACGACTCATCTTCCTCTCTAGCTTCACAAACATCCGCATTAAGTATCGGGAGCTAAGGGAGGGGTATTTAGAGCCTTTGAAGAAGGAACTATCAACACTGGCAGGGTATCGCGTTGCCAGTCGCTGCGAGGTGAGGGACCATGATGATGTATGCGCCATCTGTCTCACACACATGTCATGCGCTCGCATAACACAGTGCCAACACTTCTTCCATGCTGATTGTTTACGTCGGTGTCTCAAGGAATCTCACAAGTGCCCTATATGTCAGTATAATATCTCATTTTCTTAGTTACAGTTAACCCAACAAGCAGTATCCTTGTCTGTGATAGTTAAATTGAAGTGTTTCAGATATGATAGCATTGGTTTGATTTGATAACTAAGTTATGCGTTTCCTATAGTCGGAAAAAAATTCCTGATAATACTATATATGTATTATTACAGCTAAAGAATTTTTATTTTTTTTAGTATTTGTGCACAAAAATGTCTCTAAATTCTTTGATAATTTTAGTCATGTCCATAATAATGCAAGATGTGAGAACAGTTCTGACGGCGTTTTAAAAAAATGATTAAATATGATAAGTACTTGAGTCAAGCTCATACTTTTTGTCAAGTATTGTTTAAATGTTAACAAGATGGAATCTATACATAATAGAGTCTGACTTCAACACACATGATTTTGTTATATGTATGCCTGGCTTCGTACAGACAGATTATGCTCATGCCTTTACAAATTTTATAGCCATTAGAGATTATATATTCACACACATTAAGAGGATAAATTTGGACGTAAATATACGCTTAAGTGCAAGGTATAAAATATATAACAAACAAGTCTACCTAGGCTAGCTGTGCAAACCCTACTTTGTATGGTTACGTTATTATTATTATGGGAAAGAGTTAACATGTCTGGGAAATGAGAGGAAATCAGATTTGATCCAAGGAAAGGAAAATTAACTCGCATGAAGGCACCCAAACTTTGAAAGTACCATCGTTTTGTGTGAGGGATGGTGCTTTCAGCCTGCACAAGCGGATGTATATTTGGTGAGAAGGAATGCTAGGTGTTTTCTAAACAAACCTTGTGTAGAGCTCAAAGTTTCTTTGCAGTATGGACAATAGTGTCTTCTCTGGTATAGGGAAGTGCTGCTGTTATCATCTTCGGTATAGATTATGAATCTCACTCTCATTCTGAGTTTTTTTTCGCCATGTTTTCCTTTAACAAATGGAGTTTGAATTGCTTTTCTTTAAGGGTTATCGTAGGTTTGAATGAGGGTTATGATTCCAGTAAGGGAAACAGTTTTAGTGGCTGTCTCTAGAACACTGTTCAATTCTTTTCGCATGCTAAGTGCTTTAGTTGACCGAGTTGTTCGAATGTGATCCTTGTGGCCTTGCTATGCTTTTCTTCAAGCCCTCCAAACCAAGTAGCATTCGTGGTTACAATTATAACCAAAATTTTAAAAGGGGTGGACTAGTAAACCAGCGGAAGACCTCGGTTAGATGACCAAAAGCTCCAGCTACGGGTCATCATATGACTAAGATCCGCGTCAGGAAACACTTTTCCTGTTTCTTGACCACCCTTACCTAACCTCCAAACCTTGTAGCTTGTTTCTGTTTTAAAATATTATTTATCATTACTGAAGACACACTTAAATATTTTTCTTATAGTCCCTTAGGAATATGAATAAACGAATGTATATCAGTAGCGAACTTACCACAAATGTACATAAGTAGAAAATTTATCACAGATGTATACGGAAAGACCTTGCCACAAATATATATCGGTAGAGAGCCCACTAGAAATGTATATCAGGAGGGAACTTAACAGCCATATTTATATAGATATGCACCCGCTTTCTATATACAGAATTGTACCGACAGTTTATATAGGCCTGTATAACCGGTATTCATACAGAAATCCACAACAAATACTACCAGCATGTAGATCTTTCTACGGCTGAGATTTGTATATAAATGTGTAGATATTTGTGGTTACCCAGGAAGCTATCTTGACACTTATCCCGACGCTTGTCAGTAACCGATTCTCAATAATTAAAATGTTATATGTACATAAAACCTGCCCTTTGAAAGATATTTTTATTAATTTCCCCCCCTAGCTGGTTAATATAAATCAGTAAAATTTACAATTTATCGTACAGTATATTGTGCATAATTGCAATAAATCTTTGTGATTCACTTTCCATTGCCACTGTTGCTTGTAAATGGAATAAAAAAAATCGTTGTCTGTGGATTATGGGAAAACTTCAAGTCAGAATGATGTTATTTGATTTGTACCACAGGGACGAGGATACCTTGGTGCTAGTGAAGGGCTCTTGATCTAAGGAACTGGGCCTACACTCTCTTTCCTCGGATCAAATCGGATTGCCTCCCATTCCTCAGGTGAGGAACCTACAATAATCCCAACAGAAGAGGACGTAAACAGAGGGATTTAGCGTAAAATCAACGATTACAATAATAATACTTATTAATATTAATACTATTTATTGCATAAAAATAAATTTGGTAACCTTTCATTTGATAATGCCAGGTAAAAAAAAATCATGGGATATGCAGAGGATCTGACATCAAAATATATGAACTGTATCCTTCTAACACTTGCTGTGTTCCTTGTGAGAGAGTGCCTGCGCTCTGAAGGACGGGTGGCGATATTTGCAGTTTTGAACTGGCAAAGACGCTGATGGAGTGAGTGATGGTGAGAGTGTTTCTGTTTGTTTTTTGTAACAGCTTGTTCTCACCAATAGCTTAAGAAGTTAGTTATAACACGCTGCAATTATTCATAAATCAGCCACTGAACATGGGCATTAAAATCAATGTTGGTTTTAATTATTTTATTGAAGAAAATGAGCAAGTACTGGCTTAAAAGTATGACAACGTAAACACGGGAGCGCTTATATATGTGATCAATGCTGACTATTAATTAGTTCTAGCGCTGAATAACCCCTACGGGTTTCAGCGCACTTGTGTTAAAACAATGAACAAATAATAATGCATAAACCATACCCCCGGCTGGGATTGAACCCGCGGGGGTATGGTTTGTTTGCAATCGTGTCATTACGATTTCTTGAGTCAGTAATAATGCATAACTTTTGACGATTCGCGGACATAGGACTGCACAAGTGGTGGTCGATGGTTCGTCAGGAGGGACGACGACTGAAGCAGGTCGTGCATCACAGGGTCTTGATCACTAGCTAGGTCAACCACTGGAGTGTGTCTGCTTGGGTCCCATCCCCCACTGCAACCACTGTAGTGTGTCTGCTTGGGTCCCATCCCCACTGCAACCATTGGAGTGAGTTCGCTTGGGTCCCATCCCCACTGCAACCACTAGTGTGTCTGCTTGGGTCCCATCCCCACTGCAACCATTGGAGTGTGTTCGCTTGGGTCCCATCCCCACTGCAACCACTAGTGTGTCTGCTTGGGTCCCATCCCCACTGCAACCACTGGAGTGTGTTTGCTTGGGTCCCATCCCCACTACAACCACTAGTGTATTTGTTTTGGGTCCCATCCAGACTGTAATCACTGGAGTATCCTTGCTTGGGTCCCATCCCCACTGCAACCACATGAGTCTTCTTGCTTGGGTCTTCCCCAGCTGCAATATTCAACATGTCTTACGTCTACATACTTCTCAGTGTATATCACAACTGTTGAGGATATTTAAACAATTTCATTTTAATAATTGGCTCATTTTTATATAACAGTTAGCAGTCAGTGGTCTTAGAATGCTAAGCGAATCTCACACCGGAATCATCTGGGCATTCTTATTATTGTTGTGAAAATTTTCAAACACTAATTAATTTATAAGAGCAAATTAATACAAATTCAATATACATCAAGGATGCCAGATTTGAAAATGGCCCTCTCTTATTCGATAAAAAAAAATTCAGAAAGTTTGAAAGTTTGTTTTCTGTCTCGTTGCAAATGACTAACACTCTGGGAATAATATTTTCAACGACATCTGAGATTTCTCAAAAAGAGCCCAACACTAGCTTGGAAAACTGTGGCAATACTTGGCAATTACTCCACAGCTACGATGTATCCAAGATACCAGCGTATACACAGAGAGGTGCATATCGGTGATATACACCCAAGTTTCGATGTTGTTATGAACGCTGTGTTTAGCATTCAGTGGAAGCTGTGAGTGCAGTGGAAGGGCCCACGCTACCTGATGCAGTGATGGTCCAAACCTTCAAGGAATACTCGGTGCAGGGGTCCAGATTCGTTATTTCCTTCTCCACCACGAAGGGCAGAGAGGTACCTGGTACATGGGTGATGGTCTCGCTGTTCGTCTCGCCTGAAGGGTTTGTCCATTCCAGCTCGTAGGAGTCGACACACCTGCTGTTGTTTTCCGGGGTCCACCAAGCGACAGTCAGTGACGTGGTAGTCGCGTCTCGCACCACGAACGATTGAGGCTCGGTTGGGACATCCTCGTCCGTGGTGTCATTAACTACTGCCCAACTACTTGCCTGTAACTCACTTGACCTAGCGCAAACCTTTATCTCGTAATGGGTGCAAGCGTCTAAGTTATCAAAAGTGTAGCCCCGCTGCTGGTAGAACAAGAACTCTGACCCCTTCGTCACGTCGTCTAACTCGACAATCGAGTTGACGTATTCAGCGACGCACTGTGGGCTATCCGACGGAGGGTCAAAGTCGATCTCGATGCTGTGGGCCGTTTTACTGGTGACTATCAAATTCTCTGGTGTACCAGGTGCTGAAGGGAGAGAGAGAAACCATATTTAAGGATCCTGCAACGCATCTGACTGGAAATACATGGAGATGTGACTAGAGTTAAGACTTTTACAACCAATTCTCACAAGTACCACAGCATCTCGGGCTGAAGCTTTGCCCCTCCACTATCACCACCCTCGCCATCATAACAGGGTGGAGAAGGAAGGAAGGGGGGAAGGGAGAAAGAAGCAGGACTCACCGATGTCGAGGGTCCTCCTGGTCTGCCATACAGCAGTACTGTAGTAGTCAGAGTAGCTGGCGGCGGTGACGGAGACAAAATAATCGACGCACGGAAGCAGGTCCGTCAGCGTCACCGACGGCTCAGTCACCACCTCACACTTTTCGGTCACCTCCTGTGGTAGAGACGGTGTTGTAAAGTTAACCAGTTTAACAGAAGAGAGAAAGAGAGGAGGGACGATAATGTGCTGCAGGAAAGTGTACACAGTATATCCATAAATTTTTTGTAACAGGTGTTTTGATAAGTGGTGAGGCTGACCTCCTCATCGTAGTAACAGATCTTGAAGTGGTCAACACAGATGATGGCTGCCTCCCAGGTGACCTCCATGGATACAGTAGTGACCTCCTTCGTCGCCAGCTCCCACACGGGGTCAGGATCTGCCAGAGGGCAAGGGAAAGACGCTCTTAATGACAAGTATAAGAGAGCAAAAAATTCACTTCCATTATACCTAAACAGTGATCAGGTGTAAAATACTTTGGTGAATCAAAACAACTGAAGGTGAGCCTAAGAGATGGCAAGATTATTCACGATTGGAGAGAAAGCGCCGGTAAGTTCAAAACTACTCGGCAACAGCTCAAATTCATATGGGCCATTCAACGCAAGGAGTGGTGGAAGTTCGATCCTCCATCCACAAAACGCAGTCTTATGTCTCCTTTGTCTACGTAAAGATCGAACCTGATAGCCTCATTTTTCCCAAGCTCTGTAAAACCCCTACGGGTTCAGCGTTTCTCTACAATTAGAATAATAGCAATCAGTGTTGTGCCAAACGTTTTTAATGCTTCGCTTTCCTCCATATTTGTTCTTTCCTCCCTCTATACTTGTCCTTCTCCCCTTCCGTACTTTTTCTTCCTTTCCTCCCTCCATACTTGTCCCTTCCTCATCAGGCTCTGATCCACCAGGAGGCCTGGTCACAGACCGGGCCGCGGGGGCGTTGACCCCCGGAACTCTCTCCAGGTCATCCAGGTCCTCCCACTATACGTATCTTTCCCTGCCTCCGTACTTATCCCGGCTTCCGAACTTTTCCGTTTCCGTACTTATCCCTCCCTGCCTCCGTACTTGTCTCTGCTGTGGCTGAGTCACTCTGAACAGAGGGTCCCAGAGAGTCGTCCCAGGCGATGGCGACCACCTCGATGGTGTAGTTGGTACATGGCTCCAGGTTGTAGATGGTGAAGGTGTTGTCACTGTCAGCGGCCACCATATGTACCTCGCGCTGCTGCTTCATCAGGAGCTCTGTCAATGCACTGGTCACCTTCACGGTGATGGAGACAGCGAATCTGTGAGAGGAATGAAGATGGTTTCAAGAGATTATCAGTAAAATGAGCACAAGAGTAGATGAGCGGCAGTAAAACAGATGAAGAAATGATTAACCACTTTTAGTAATAATAATAATAATAATAATAATAATCTACGTGAAAGCGTTAAACCTTCGTGGGTCTATCAAGGAAAGGATTAATAGACTCTTCATACTCCGTCTGATAACACGAAATAGAAAAAAAACTCGTTAAAGAAACACTTGATCCAAGGACTCAGAACTACATTTCTACTCTCCTTTGATTAAGCCTGATTACCTGTCATTACCCAGGTAATGAGAGGTAATCAGAAGTCTCAGGACTTCCCAGTGGAAATAATAACAGCAAAGGACCTACTTTTGAATACAGTGAGCGTTCTCCAAGGGGTTGTCCCAAGTGACAGTGATGGCGTCTGGTAGTGACAAAGCCGTCTGAACGTTTCTTGGCAGTCCAGGAGCTGGTGTGGAGAAAGAATAGAGTTAAGGTGTGATATTAGTGGTAGTGATGCTCGTACTGGTGGTGATAATGTTGGTGATGGTGGTATTGGTAGTGGTAGTGGTGTTGACAATGGAGATGGTGGTATTATTGCTGATGAAACTTGATGATAAATTAATTGTGCTGAATATTTCTAAATATGAAAATCTGCACACACAGAAGTATCACATAGTAAGGTGACAGAGAAGACAGACATGAATGACACTACCAATTAGAGATTTTGAGAGGTTTTTACAAAACAGAAGTGATATAAGAAGGGCAGAGTATATAGAGAGTAAAAGAAAGGTGAAGAGAGTGGTGAGAGAGTGCAAAAGGAGAGCAAATGACAGAGTGGGAGAGGCACTGTCAAGAAATTTTAATGAAAATAAGAATAAAAAAATTGGAGTGAGATAAACAGGTCAAGAGAGCCTAGGGAACGTATGGATTTGTCAGTTAAAAACAGAGTAGGGGAGTTAGTAGATGGGGAGCTGGAGGTATTGGGTAGATGGCAGGAATATTTTGAGGAACTTTTAAATGTCGATGAAGAAAGGGTGGCAGTAATTTCATGCACTGGCCAAGGAGGTATAACATCTTTTAGGAGTGAGGAAGAGCAGGATGTGAGTGTGGGAGGGAGGTGCATGAGGCATTACTTAGAATGAAAGGGGATAAAACAGCTGGATCTGATGGGATCATGACAGAAATGTTAACAGCTGAGGGATATAGTGTTGGAGTGGTTGGTGTTTTTGTTTAATAAATGTATGAAAGAAGGGAAGGTACCTAGGGATTGGCAGAGAGCGTGTATAGTTCCTTTATATTAAGGGAAGGGGGACAAAAGAGATTGCAAAAATTATAGGGGAATAAGTTTGCTGAGTATACCAGGTAAAGTGTATTGAAAGAATTAGAGGTAAGACAGAGACCAGGATTGCAGATGAGCAAGGAGGCTTTAGAATGGGCAGGGGATGTGTAGATCAAGTGTTTACATTGAAGCATATATGCAAACAGTATTTAGATAAAGATAGGAAAATTTCCATTGCATTTATGGGTTTAGAAAAGGCATATGACAGTGGATAGGGGAGCAATGTGGCAGATGTTGCAAGTGTATGGAATAGGTGGTAAGTTACTAAATGCTGTAGAGTTTTATGAGGATAGTGAGGTTCAGGTTAGGGTGTGTAGGAAAGAGGGAGATTACTTTCCAGTAAAAGTAGGTCTTGGACAAGGATATGTAATGTCACCATGGATGTTTAATATATTTATAAATGAGGTTGTAAAAGAAGTAAATGCTAGGGTGTTGGGGAGAGGGGTGGGATTAAATTATGGGGAATCAAATACAAAATGGGAATTGACACAGTTACTTTTTGCTGATGATACTGTGCTTGTGGGAGATTCTAAAGAAAAGTTGCAAAGGTTAGTGGACGAGTTTGGGAGGGTGTGTAAAGGTAGAAAGTTGAAAGTGAACATAAAAAAGAGTAAGGTGGTGCAGGTATCAAAAGATTTAGGTAAAGAAAAATTGGATTTCACATTGGAGGGAGGAAGAATGGAAGAAGTGAATGTACGAGAATATAGTGGTACCAACACTCTTACATGGGTGTGAAGCATGGGCTGTAAATGCTGCAGGGGAGGCGGTTGGAGGCAGTGATGTCCTGTCTAAGGGCAATGTGTGGTGTAAATATTTTGCAGAGAATTTGTAGTGTGGAAATTAGGATGTGTGAGTTACTAAAAGTATTAGTCAGAGAGCTGAAGAAGGGTTGTTGAGGTGGTTTGGTCATTTAGAGAGAATGGAACAAAGTAGAATGACTTGGAGAGCGTATAAATCTGAGGGTGAAAAAGAGGCGGGTTAGGGGTTGTCCTCGAAAAAGTTGGAGGGGTAAAGGAGGTTTTGTGGGCGAGGGGCTTGGATTTCCAGCAAGGGTGCATGAGCGTGTTAGAGAGGAGTGAATGGAGACGAATGATTTTTGGGTCCTGACGAGTTGTTGGAGTGTGAGCAGGGTACTATTTTGTGAAGGGATTCAGGGAAACCGGGGGTTTGGGATATTGGCAGTTTGAAGGGACATCTAAATTGTTGTATCTGAGCGCTTCTGCAAAGACAGTGATTATGTATGAGTGATGATGAAAGTGTTGAATGATGAAAGTTTTTCCTTTCTTTCTGAGTCACCCTGCCTCGGTGGGAAACGGCCGACGTGTTAAAAAAATTACTGCAACAGACGGCTAAGCTCTGCAGTAACGACTCTGAAGAGACAATATAGAAGGGATAACAGAATAAAAAAACAGAAGAGTAATAACAGCAGTTGCTTACAATCCACCATCGACAACAAACTTACAGAGATATGAGTATAAAGACAACAACAGGGCAGTGAAGCCTGGGAGAAGCACCATCAAGAGGTAGTGGAACAAAAGCAAAACTACTGAATACTTGAAACTTGAATCATGAGGATAGCGACTGAGAAAACTGGATATCACATGAAGGATCAAAAAATTTGCGAGAAAAACTAACTGAAACAGTAATGAGGAAGTCTGTAATGCAACATGTTAAAGACACTATGATGATACGAGGAGAGAATGTCTCGGTAAGATTGGATCTGTTCTTCATGAAGGAAATTGTCTATGAAGAGGAACCATGAACTAAATTGTCTAAAGTTTTGGCTACATGAAAGAAGTAGTACGAAGACAAGTGTGTGTAGAGAGATGCAAGAAAATACAAACCATAGGAGAGATAAACAGAAATGAGAGTTTCTGAATGGAGTACAGTTGGAAACAAATCGAAGGAAAAAAATACACGAGATAACAGATAGAGAGCTCAAGGAAACCCCAAACATGTTTGTACAAACAAGGAGAACAGGAAATATAAATGATAGAGTTCATGGTTTATAATGAAGTGTAATGTGATAAAGCTAAAAGTCAACTGTATAAAACATACAAAAAATGGAGATAATAGAAAACAAGGAACTAAACAGACGCGCTATTAATGATTTTGAATAGATAAGAATGGGGTCAGAAAGGCAATCAGAAAATGATATATGAGTAAATACTTAAAATAGAACCGAAGAGGACCTGCCTCGTATGGGCAAGTAGGCCTGCTGCAGTGTTCCTTCTTTCTTATGTTCTTAAGATGAGGCATAACCGCTTAAGAAGAAAGATGACAGTAAAGGCAGGAGAAGTAGTAAATTATTCTATTCCTATTATTAATGTAGAGAGTTATTAGCTCAGGATAACTCATGATAGCCAGTGTGTAGAATTTGAGTCCTCTTCCCCAGGATGCTTTCCGGAACTGCTAGGTGAACAAGGGCAGTAGGTGTAAGGAAACATGCTTAACGTTTCCACTTGCCCAGAGATCAAACCCGGGTCCTGTGAGCCGGACACATTACCATACTGCCAAGAGGAAAATAAATCGAATGGATTGAGAGGAAGAAGCGAAAGCGCTCCTAAGATGACGGGCAGCAAAAAACTATAAATGTTATCAAAAAACAAAAGAGGAAATGGACAGGAAGCACTGAACTATGAACCACCTTCGCTTACTAGCCTACTAGTTAAAGTACTAAATATACATAAAAAAGAGAATAATATACCACCTAATTAGTTTATTTATAACAATTTTTTTTAAAGCCTAAAATGCAGCCAGACTAATACAGAATGACCGACTGGTTGATTAACTTGACAGACTTACGAGCTAGAATGGTCTCGACGTCGAAGATGAGGGAGGAAGCGCTGGTCAGACCTGTAGGGGACAGACTGGTGACGTTCACCTCGTATTGAGTACAAGCTTCCAGCCCAAGCATGTCGTAGCTGGTGGCACTTGTCTGTTCACACACTCTTGACCCTACGGAATCTACTGCCTTGTAGCACACCTGGGTAACACAGAGTGGGGGTGAGTGTTCGGCTCTACGGGGGCAGGATCAACACGGGGGAAAAAGGAATGCCCCGTCTTCCCCGGCGACAAAGAAAAAATAGAATTTGATAGCGCATGATGTGACAGCCACTGGATACCCGAAGGCGAACCAGAGTATTAAGGTGCTACTCACATAACAAACCACTGCTGCGAAATCCACTACATAATTAGTGGCTTCTGTTGTGCCTTCCAATATTTTATTACATGTAAACTACATTATTTCTACAACATAAAAAATAAAAATTGTATTTACTGTAAAATATTCAAGTGCATCGTGAGTTATGTAGCCCTAATAAGTCGAACTCTATCCCTAACTGATGCTCATTCAATGGTCACCAAAATCTTTAGTTTTCCTTTAACCTGACTTAATGTTCCATGCACTTAACATGTCTTACTTTTATCTTACTTGGAGTTTCAAGGGTTTCACTTCAACCTTACTTAATGTTACTTTGTCCAAACAGGTTCCACTTAAATCTTATTTACAATAACATGGTACCAATTAAGTTCTACTTTGTGCCCCACGATTTCAATACTACCAACTTGAGACCTACTTGATACTGGCTGATACATTTGGAGTTAATTGCCGCCCAGGTGATGGTGGCTGTGTTGGCTTCTATAGACACCACCACGCCATCTTGGGGAGTGCCAGGCACTGGAGAAGACAGCAGAGCATCACCATATGCACTAAGTATTTACGTAGAAGCTTTAAACTAGCAGAGCTTATCCGACTCGAACTTGACTATCTCCCATTGCCCCAGGATCTGACGCTCTCCCCCATTAATGTAATGTAATTCAGATTGTTATATTAGCAGGTAGAACTCAAAGACTGGGCATTTAAGAAAAAATATCTAGGCTGAAAGGCTCTACATTTTATACAGCGCTAAAGAATTGCTTGACTCCCATTTTCACAATAACGTGTGAGATTTTGATAGAAATACAACTTTTAAAGAGGACAAATATTGTGTACGAATGGTATATAATACCGACAAGATGAGAGTAAGACACATGTGCAACATCTACAATAAAGATACCCAGATGTTGCACATGTGTCTTACTCTCATCTTGTCGGTATTATATACCATTCGTACACAACTTGTCAGACACTGCAACATCATGGAATCTTAATTCTGAGGACATGTACATAACCTTCAACGTCTACAATAAAGATACCCAGATGTTGCACATGTGTCTTACTCTCAGGACAAATATTCTTAAAGCTCATCTTCTAAAATGCACATTATTTTATGATAAATTAGACACATGTGCAACTCTTGGGTATCTTTATTGAGGAAACGTTTCGCCACACAGTGGCTTCATCAGTCCATACAAAGGAGAATCTTGAAGAACTGGAGGAGAATGAGGTAATCAGTCCCTCAACCTTGAGTCGATGTGGTCAGTCCATCAGTCTTGAATAGATTGATGGACTGACCACATCGACTCAAGGTTGAGGGACGGATTACCTCATTCTCCTCCTGTTCTTCAAGATTCTCCTTTGTATGGACTGATGAAGCCACTGTGTGGAGAAACGTTTCCTCAATAAAGATACCCAAGAGTTGCACATGTGTCTAATTTATCAACATGTCGGTTCTCTGAACCATTCATCTACAAACATTATTTTATGCTGTAGGGGAAGGTTAAATATAGACACTACACTCAGTGGTAGTGATATTTTCTTCCATATGAAGAACATATAACGTCATTTTTGCACAAACAAGGGTCATAAAATCTTGCATTTAGTAAAACTCATGAGCTGCCCATACAACCAAGGCATAATATAGAGCCTTGTTGCAGAAATCTTTAAAACCTACTGAGACATGTTCTTGCCGAAAATTTAGATAAGTGCCTATATAAAGACAAGTGCCTAGATAGAGGGGAAAGAAATGTGACTATCTTGGTTACCTTCGTCTGTGGTGTAGGCATTAGTGTAGGCTGGCTCACCCATTTGGTCGCTGCCAGCCACGGTAAAGTAGGGTGTTACCTGGAAGGTCTGGAGCGAACAAGCCTCCAGCTCGGTCACGTTGGCGTAGCACACACTCTGTAATACATCACACAGGGTGTATTACCCTCTCAGGCAGGGTATATTAATGAATCTCTTTTAGACTAACTTGACAAAACATAAACACTCGCTGCAAAATGTTGGGGCAAATTCATTTAAACACAAGAGAAGAGAAGCTTGAGAGCCTCGAGTCACAGATGCAGTATGTGTGTGTTAACTAACAACATAAACTTAGTATGTGTGTGTTAACTAACAACATAAACTTAGTATGTGTGTGTTAACTAACAACATAAACTTAACAAAGTTTATATTGTTAGTTAACTGACAATATAAACTTAACAATGTTTATATTGGCAGTTAACTAGACAAATAATTAGCACAAAAGTTATTTAAATGTGTACAACATTGAGCCAGGATAATATGTGTAATCAACTGCATATTCCTAGAATTCCGAATACTTTGCTTGACTGTATCTAGTGGCCAAGACCTCATTCAAATTCCTATTACACCAACGCCTTACTTAAATTCACAGTACATAGCCTCGTGTATAGCCTGAGAAGCTGGTAGCCGTGCCCTCATCCAGGTCTGTTTGTCGCTTAAGTGGTGATGACACCCTTCACAAAGTCTGCAAAACCATCTGTCACCACTTACATCTTTGCAACGGCTGTCCTGTGTGAAGTCGTCGTTGATGACGATGGAGTACTTGTGCACCTCGTAATCAGTGGGCGTGAGGGTCCACGTCAGGTACACCCACGTCTGGCCCACTGATAACGCCTCCAGATCTATGATCATACCTTTATTGGGGGGAAGAGAAATTTGAGTGAAACCATTGTTGAATTCGTCAAACGCAAGGCTTCGAAGTCTTTGAGTGCCCTAGCTTGATGTTTTGAGGACTGATTGCTGATTGTTCAAGGTGCATTGTAGTTCCTAGAACGCAATGACAAAACGAAATAATATTTCAAATTCATTAAAATTATTTCTTGCTGGCTGTTCTTCTGTAGTTTAGTTTGTGTGTGACACTTATTGCTGTTATACTTTTATTATTATTATTATTATTTTCAACAAGTCGGCCGTCTCCCACCGAGGCAGGGTGACCCAAAAAGAAAGAAAATCCCCAAAAAGAAAATACTTCCATCATAATTCAACACTTTTACCACACTCACACATAATCACTGTTTTTGCAGAGGTGCTCAGAATACAACAGTTTAGAAGCATATACGTATAAAGATACACAACATATCCCTCCAAACTGTTAATATCACAAACCCCTCCTTTAAAGTGCAGGCATTGTACTTCCCATTTCCAGGACTCAAGTCCGACTACATAAAAATAATCGGTTTCCCTGAATCCCTTCACTAAATATTACCCTGCTCACACTCCATTATTATTATTATCAGCACTTGCCGCTAAAGTAAAAAGTAACTGGGTTTGATCAAAAAAGGTGGGTGGCAGACCCAATTTCCTTGATCAAGAGCCCGTCACCGGTATCAAAGCACTCCCTTTCCCCATCCTTGAAGGGGTGTGATAACTTGAAAGTGCCATATTAAATCATCATTAAACTTTCCCTAAGTATAGTGAGTGGGAATAATTTCTTGACAGCGTGGTACTCACCTCCTTGTACACCCATATCGATGATGCACTTGCCCACATTGCCTAAGGAGTCGACGCCGATGATGTCGACTTGGGAAGTGCAGCAGGAAGCACTGTAGGTGATAACTACGTTCCCTGTTGTGCCAGGGTTTAACCCATCCACTGACGAGGAGAGTCCGTCAGGGCGGGCATACACGTTCACCAGACCTGCCAGCAGGTGTACGTAAGAATAGAGGAGTACCTGCAGAGGGCTTGCTGGCTCATGATGAATAAGAAACATGTACAACACCTGGACACCTTTTATTACGAAGACGATTCAACATCCAGTGAATGGCGATACGCCTTCATAATCAAGTCACTCAGAGCCGGAAGTGCTGTTATAGTAAACTAGCCTGACAGTACTATAATACAGAGATGTGAAATTAATGGCCGAGTTTCCACCTTACAAACTGAACTCTTTACCATACTTATTTCTCTCAAGATTGTAGAAGAGACAAGTACATATAAGTTAATTGTTTCTGATTCCTCATTACTTGCACTAATAGCCTGAGATGTGAATGTAATATGATTACATATAAAGCCAGACACAGACGTGCAAAACTTTTTGAAACGGTGATTCAAGTTAAACTTTTGTGGATTCTGTCTCACACAAGCATCCAGGAGTATGATAAAGTCGATGACTTGCCTAAACTAACATTAAATACAGACAATATCGAATGTAATTTTGGTTTCTCAAAAAGGTTAAAAACATTGTCAAAAAAGAACTAGCAAGGGGGTTTGAAGAAAGTAGAAGAGAGCAGGTAAGTGTTACCAGATCAATTACTCGTCAAAATGCAATATTTATTACAATTTGTTAAAGGTACTTGTCGCTAAGGCTTGTTGTGTGTTTGTATGTGTGTGTTAGTTGAGCTTGTCAAGTAAAACATGTCTATGAGAAAAGTATCAAAATCAATACACTAAAAGAATTCTGTTAATGTAAGAAATAGGTTAGGTTTTAAGTATCTCTGGCAGTAATGTGTATATGGTGATATCAGTGGCATGAAATGTTAAGCATGTGGACAGGGCCATATACACTAGAACATTATACAACAAACCACGGAACGGGTAGAGTTTGAGTCCATGGCGAGTGAGTCGTAGAACTCCAGGCCAATTTGCAATTGTATTATTACGATTTCGTGAGTCATGATAGAACATTATACAGCATTTCATAGTGTGCAAACATATGATCACTTAGAGACATGCTCAAACAAATCTTAGAGGAAATTGCAAATTACTTCATCGTAATGGTAAAACATCTAAAATCTTGAGATTATTCACATTCTGCAACGACTGGGAGAGTGAACTGTTATTTAATGAAACTGTAATCTAGCAAATGATTGTAGTTTTGCAGTGTTAATGATTGTTGTTTGCAGTCGTTAATGATGAGATACTTCAGTTTCCATGATGATTTTATCTCCATGATGTAGGGTGTAGATTTGCTTTGTGAATAAACGAATAAACTGTAATATATGAGAAGAACTGTAATATTTTTAATGGTGTAAATATATTCAGTGGGGTCTGACAAAGACCCAGTGTCACCTCAATAATCCCGTTCTTTTGCGCTACCACTCACAGGATGGGCATTGAGTGTATAATAAACTAGCTACTGAAGCACCACGAAATAAAGAATTTTAGATTTTGTAGTAAAGAGTAAGGAAGACAGACTTGGTAAGAAGGGGAGGTATATTCTAATACTTAATTATGAAGTTTATGGTTGTGTCGCAAATAAGAAGTTTGTATCAACATGTACACAACTCGGCCCAGTTAATGATTCGACGAGAGCACTGACTGTGTGTGACCATCCCATCCCATGTTCGAGGTAACACTAACCTGACACACTGTCCTGGAGGGTAGCCTGAATGGTCCAGGTCTTATCGGAACAGACGCCATTCAGTTCGTAGCCTGAGCAGTCAGGCTCACTGTCCAGCTCACAGGTGGGTGGGCTGTCGTCTGACACCTGTCACACAGAAAAAGTTTAACTCGGGAACACAAGCAAGATGAAAGGTTCATTTTTCCACTATAATCTACCTTGTCCATAATTACTATCGCATTTGCTTTTTCTGTTTCGTAAGGTGAAGTCTTACGAAATAAAGCAAATGAGATAGTAATTATAAACAAGGTAGATTATAGCAGAAAAATGAACATGAAATTAAAAGACAGGGGAACTTACGTGTCCTTTAAAGCTTAAAACTTCCCGTGAAAAATCACGGTCCTCGTCAATAAATACACTGTAATATATAGAGACGACATCGTTTTCTTTTTACTATTTAAAAGACAAATTTGCTGATGTAACACGATAAAAAAAACATTTTAGTAATCTGAGATCACGTTGACATGGAAACTGGTAGCGTGTGACTTACTGCTGGGAGGACAACGAACTGGGAGATAGCACTGTTGACAGACTGTGTCTGCTCCTCGCTCTGGGCTGTCAGGGTCACCATGCTCACCGTGCCTGGCACTGCACTCGACGGCACCACGAAGGACACTGTCACCACCGCCGATTCGTTGTGGATGATGTACACTCTGCAAGGAAGACGAGAGTGGGAGTGCAGTCTCCAGCCTGACTGTTTCGCCTACAAGCTAACATAATTTTATATTATTAATGACATACAATACCTACAAGTTGATGAATAGGACATATAACATATGGATATCTTGGTTGTTGAAACGTTTCTCCTGTGAAGCAGCTTCTACAAAGATAACTTTTTAACACAAGAAACGTAAGATATGAAACTGACTGAACAATGATATAGTAAAATCAAACTCCGTACATGGGTTCAGAAAATATTAGACACTCATTTCACGTCAGATGATCCAATTTAAGAGGCAAGACCAAGAGCTAGAGCTCACTCACAAAGTGCGAAGTTCTAACAAATCAAGAAAAAAAGAAAGACCGCAAAATGAGCATAGACTGGAGGGAGAATGGCTACAAGCTTTGAAGGGGATGAACTTTAAGGCAAGTATAATGCCAAGCTGGTTGTCAGAGGACTACATCAGGCGAATAGCGCACCTAAGAACGGAATTCAAGAACCTTAACAAAGTCACTGATAACCTTATATACGTCATACATCAAACATAGTGTCATGCATTACCAGCGTGAAGCCCACTTCTGTCACACTGTATGAAATACCAGCCTGAACTTCACACTTGCTCTAGTATGCGAAGAAACTAGAGAAAGTGTAGAGGCTCGCAGTAAGACTGGTTTTCTAAATGGTAGTTCTAACTCACAATGAGAGACTAAAGAGTTGTTCTTAAAAACTTTGGAAGATGACAGGACAAGAGGAAAACATGACAGACGTACACAATACATTCACAAGGTCTTGCCAAGGCATAAAGTGACTATCTGTTGAGCCTCATGATTCCAGGAAATAGTGGAAAAGTGGAAGAGAAGAGGAAGTGGTGGGAAGTAGACTACAAACGACAGGGTCCAAGAAGCCAGGAACTTGCAAAATCAATCATATGGTTAAGAAGTGGGGTTAGGAGCTAAGACTCGACTGTTTAATTAGCAGTCAATAAATACGGAAAACGGGACACCGTGAGCACAACTGTTTCTATGATTTCAAACAAGTAATCACGAAAGGTAATCATAACATGCTTTCTCTCTCTCTCTCTCACACACACACACACACCTACGCACGCACGCACAGAGAGAAGACTGACCTATCAGGAGTGACTTCGTCTAGGAAGTCCTTATCGTCGGTTCCTGTGAGGGCGAAGTAGGAACTGAGGCCGTAGTTGTAAACGATAAAGTCTCCTTTCGCAGTCTCGCCGGGGCGGGCTGACAGGTCTTCTGAGGTGGCCAGGACCCCCACGCCCGTCTCAACAGGCGTCATCTGCACCGTCATCAGGCGACAAAACACGTTGCCTGTAGGAAAAAACAGAGTGCACGCAGGATGAACTAAAAAAGAGGTAGGAGTTCGTGGTTGCAAAGAACAATAGGTAAGTTTACATGCGATTAAACATATGCATTGTTTAGAACTATGGGATAAAACATTTCGACGGGAACGCGCGAATTATTAATTACATTATACGAGTCGGAGAGGAGCACAAGGCAAATATATCTCGCCACCATAGGTTACAATCTTATGCTGGAATCTTACGGTGGCTTCGGAAAACATTAATAAAATACCACAAGTGGATTAAAAATACCTATTCTAAAAATGTACTGGTTGGTAAGCAGATCAAAAATAAAATAGTACTGGTAAAGCGACTTTAATATTACTCAGGTGAAAGTTCAGGATGGATTATGCAAAAGTGTGAAGATTTAGAAACAATAAGAAGACATAATACCCTGACTGAAACAATACAAAAAATACCCGCAAATATGTGAATTTAACTCAAGACGACGTTTCGGTCCGACTTAGTGCTGGTTATTTGTGTGAAGGTTTCATAAGTGTGGGTGACATACCAGACTGAACGTAACCGTATAATTTGATATAGAAGGGCTCTTCAGGAAGGGGGTCTGAGCGGATGTAGAATTCATCGTCGACTAAGCCGTTGTAAGGGATCTCTCTCAGCTGAAGTCCGCTCTGTGGCAGGAAGAATATACTATGAATGCCTGTATTAGTATAATATTCTCGTGTTATATAGATCAAATATCATATATGACAACATCAAAGTGTCTTTGAGCACTCTTCAGTAACAGCAACCAACTCGAGGGGAAAATATACAAAACAAAATCTTTTCCTCTCTTTGTGTCCATGTGAGTTGGTTGCTGTTACATGTTACACTGGCGTCCTCGTCTCCTCCAGTACTCTCACCTTGTCTACATACTCCACATATGTCACATCAGTGACGTAGCTCTCCAAATAGCCAATCAGCGTCACCCCAATGTAATACACAGTATCTGTGGATGAAAACAATTTGCTTTGGGAAAAATATTCAGTGAATTAGGCAACAAATTCATTACTAATAAAATATCATGGCAAAGGACTTGTTCAGTACAAGTCAGTGATGGATCACAATTAAGACATCAGAACTTTTTTTTGTAAATAGTTTAATTTGTCTCACGAAATCGTAATGGCACGATTGCAAACAAACCATACCACAGGTGGGGATAGAAACCGCGATCAGAGTCATAAAACTCCAGACCGACGCGCTAGCCACTGGACCAGCTGGCTACAATAAGATTCATTCAACTACGTATATTTATACACCATAGGAAGGTTAGCATAGGCACCACTGTGACCACAAATGCAAGTTTTTACAGACGAATCTCCCGCCAGCGTGGCCGTGACTAACTCTAGGTCAAGTCACCTCAAAGCCCCTCATTTGTGGTCACAGTGGTGCCTATGCTAACCTTCCTATGGCGTATAAATATACCTAGTTGGATGAATCTTATTGTAGCCAGCTGGCCAAGTGGCTAACGCGTCGGTCTGGAGTTCTATTGCTTTCTGATCGCGGGTTCTATCCCCACTCGTGGTATGGTTAGTTTAATTTGTTGTAATGCTCGGGAATTGTGAGTGTCGCAGTCACGAGGCTTATGGAAGGAATCGCATAAGCCTGAGCAAGCTACAGCAAAACTATTAGATCCCTGATAAGTTGAGAACAGTAAAGGAGGGTCGCTGACCTACTGATAACACAAACAGGATACTACAGGGTGTTCTACTCCTCTAGGAAGGTGCCTTGATACCGGTGAGGGGCTCTTGATACTTAGAAGTAAATTTATCCTTCCCTTCTTTAGATCAAACCTGATTTCCTCTATTTCCTTCCTGACGCTATACGACCCTTACAGATTCAAGTTAAAACCCGGGAAAATCTTATTAATTGCTGTCACAAGCAGGGCAGAAAAATGTTTACTTATGAATCGAGCAGGACCTGGTATGGGCGTGTTACTCACTGATGAGAGGGTTGCCTTCTGCGGCGCGGTAGTGTGGATGAGGAGGTGAAGGGTCCAGGATGGAGAACCAGCCCAGGAAGCTCAAGGTGGAGTTGGCGCTGACGGAGATGGTGTAGGTGGACGCGGAATCGGTATGGAGGCTCCACACACCATAACGAGGCTCCAGCCATCGTACAGATTTAAGGCCGTCGGTGTAAATTATCACCTCAATCGTCGGGTCTGACTGGAGGCTCGCTTCGTCCGTGAGGTCGTATTTAGTGCCTGATAGGGGTAAGGAAAGGAAAAAGTGAGAGTGGATTACATGATGCACAGATAACTATCGCTATCATGATGCATCCTCCACAAGCTCACCAGTGAAGTCCGTCAGTATAGCGTCTGTGATGGTACCGACGATGCGGATTTCGAAGTCGCTGATGGAGTTGTCGATAGGCACGTCGGTGTCCACAGGTCCCAGGAGGTCCTTCAGCTGAGTAATGTCTACCTGAAGGGAAACAGAGGGCGCAGGAGGTTCATTAATTTTAAAGACAAAATACGAAGAATCAAGAATGATGACAAAATCACTTGAAGAATAAACGTGAGGTATTAAATAGAAAGTTTTACAGTGTTTACAAAAGAAGATATTTTAAGTGTAATGGATTTAAAAATCAAACAAATAACTGAGATTAAGGAAAGTGTAATACCTCAAGAGTAAGTCAAGAAATTAATACTGAATGCTAAGGAAAAAAAAGAAACAATGAAATCAGACGAAATAACACCGTGGATTTTGAAAGAATGTGCAAAAGAATGGCAGACCAGTGATAAGAGGAAAAATGTCCTAATGGGGGATATGTGTCAAGCGGGGTGCCACAAGGATATGTACTTGCCGTGAAATATATTTAATATACACATATGACTTACAAGAAGGTAAGAAATATTAGAATACGTTTGTGAACGATGCAAAAAAAAAAAAAATCTTAAAGGAAAATTAGCAATAAAAAATGACTGCAAATCCCTGTGGGAGGACACAGATGAATACACTGGAGCACACATACAAATACACACAAAGTGTGGAAGTACACTCACGCTGGCGCTCTGCACACCCTCGTTGAGGATTGGCATGATGGCGTCGATACTGAACTTCTCTGAGGGAATGAAAAGACCGCCGGTGGCGTCAGCAAGGCGTTGGTACTCCTCCACTTCAGTGAGCACCATCTTCTGACTTGCGCTGGGGATGGTACCACTGTAGATCACTGACACCTGCGGCATGGAGATATTGCGTGAGAGAGAGAGAGAGAAAGAGAGTAAAAGAGAGAAGAGAGAGAGAGAGAGAGAGAGAGAGAGAGAGAGAGAGGAGAGAGAGAGAGAGAGAGAGAGAAGAGAGAGAGAGAGAGAGAGAGAGAGAGAGAGAGAGAGAGAGAGAGCGAGCCTTCAACATAGGAGGGATGTGGGTGGCGTTACTGTTATGTACAAGGCCAATATTGTCAAAATACCACACTTGGATCCACTTCGAGGACAGCATGAAACAAGCTTTTATGCCACAAGACGGGCAGAAAGCAGCAACTTCACTCTGGCTGTACCCTTCTCCAGAAAAAGAGAGAGAGAGAGAGAGAGAGAGAGAGAGAGAGAGAGAATAAATTTGAAACGATATAATAAAACAAAACTAAGGAATGCTGAAAACTCGCGTTGATATAGCATTTTTAATTTTCACACAAAAGTTAGTGTACAGTACCCCTGAGCCTTCAAATCACTGATCTTCCTCTTCCGACTGTCTTAAAAATCTCCATTGCTTATATTTAACTTTATTAGGAACTTATGCCACACTGTTCTATACCTTTTGCGTACACTGAATTAGACGGGACTGAGTTAATGGGATATATTTTTTATCGGGTTAATAAGGTAGTGAGGACTAACTTTTTGGGATAAACCTTTCTCAGATCAATGAAATAGAGGCTAGGTTTATGGGATACAGGGATACTTGTTCTCGGATCGTGCAAGCGACCATAACACATCCAGTCACTATATTTACGGGAAAGCATTAAATTCGTAGGGGTTATATATTGCCTAGGAAATGGGAGGCAATCAGGTCTGATCCAGGGAAGGGGACGGGGAGCTACAATTGTTCGGATGAAGAACCCATAACCGGCATCAAAGCTCGCAGCCTGAGGGGTAACAAACGATAGGATAGATCTTCACCTTGTTGTGTTGTTGTTGACTCCTGGCCACACAACTCTCCATCTTCTCGCCGTCCCTCCCGCCAGCGTCGGTGAAGCAGAAGATGTCGCCGTAGTCTGGCGTCAGGCTGAGAGCCAGCTGCAGGGGATACCACCTTTTACTAGTCACTTATATAGAAATATAATAAACTTATATAATCATACGCAACAGTGAGTATTTGAGGTAAGATTTAAGCCGAATCAAAGTAGTAGTGGATCTCTTGAAGACCAGACCAAAACATCTCCAAGCATCACAGAATGGTAGTGTCTTACCTGAAGACCAGACCAGAATAACTCCTCCAAGGGTGAGATTCCACCGCTCGCTCGGAGACTATTCACGGCCTCCAGGAACTCAGTAGCGTTGTCTGTCCTCAAGCCCGGACCATACGCTGACGAGAGAGAGGGAGTGAGGGAGCGTATGGTCAGTTACAAGCTGAAGCACCGGCAGGAGGGTGTCTTGATGCTGGTAAAGGGCTCTTGATCCAAGGAATTAGATATCCTCTTCTTCCTTGGATGAAACTTTATTACCTCACATTTTTCTAACATAATAATAATAATAATACTAGAGTAATAATAATTAATAATAGTATTTTGATCTTTACATGTGACATTTCTGTCTCATTCACCTCTAATCCTTCTGTTCCAGTAACCCTGCTGCCCCTATAACCTAGCTATTTTTCTAGATCTCATATATCTGTCTCCTGTATTTCTCTTCTCTCTTCTCCCCCCATACCTCTCGTTACCCCTTATATCTCTCTTCCCGTTTATCTTCACTGTAGCGCCTCACTCACTGGGATCGTTGAAGGGAGCCAAGATGTAGAGTTCAGGGCTGGTGTTCTCCACGATGGACTTGACTTGCGCTTTCACAGCATCGATGTCGTCTGTCATGGAGCCAGTGGTGTCGATGGCGATGGAGAGAGCCGACCCACGGTACAGGTCGAACAAGCGACGGTACTTCTCGTTACCGATAGCATCCAGAAGCACCGTCAGGTAGTGGTCCGTCGCCTGACGAAGGAGGATGTTAGTGTTATGGTTTAGTTTGACCTTTACTGATCATGATGTCGTTTAATGGTGGTGTTAATCATGCCGTCAGGGAATGTCGAAGTTCACAGCATGGACGTGATACTTATGTTACTGTTGTTATTTTGACCAATCGCGGTGCAGTTTATTCATGACTATTTTTTTGTGTGTGCCAAAAAATAGGCATTTTAATTCACTTATTTTTGTGGCTTCAGTCAGGGGAATTTTAATGAAATTTAATGTGATGAATTATAAGGAAACAGTTTCGAAACTTTTTATATTTGAGCTAATTTAACTATTATTTAAAATTTGCGTGTGGTGTGTACTAACCTATATATAGTTGCAGGGGTCGAGTCTCAGCTCCTGGTCCTGCCTCTCAATGTCACTCGCCAGATTCACTCCTTCCTAGCCTATTCTTAAAACTATGTGTTAAGTCTGCCTCCACCACTTCGTCGAACTGCTTCCATTCCCTGAGCATCCTGAGACTGAAGAAATGATTCCTGACATCCACGTGACTCGTGTGTGTGTGTGTGTGTGTGTGTTGTGTGTGTGTGTGTGTGTGTGTGTGTGTGAGAGAGAGAGAGAGAGAGAGAGAGAGAGAGAGAGAGAGAGAGAGAGAGAGAGAGAGAGAGAGAGAGAGAGAGAGAGAGAGAGAGAGAGAGAGAGAGAGAGAGAGAGAGAGAGAGAGAGAGAGATATTACCTATTGGAACTTTCAGTTTTAACGGGAAAGTGGTAGGAGTTGAGGGGTGTCAGTAATATGGTAAACGTGTGTACAGTGAGGTGTGTATATGTATACACAGTATGTTGACCTGACCTGTGACCTGGACTCACCTGTACAGCGAGCTCTGCTGCCTGCTCGTGGAGATAATAGTGCGGGGAGAAGCAGGGAGAGGCCGTGTCCTTGTTAACGCCTCCCTGTGGTGCCTCCTCAACAGAAAGGTCCAACACACCTCCGTGGCTGCACTTCCCACCTGACACAACACACCTGGCTCAGTTCATTACACCTCAACATCACTGCAGTATCTTTCCCACAAGGAAAACAGTCAAGTGTATTGACGGAGATTCTTAGACAGGATAAAGAACAAAAAGGCACAATACCGTGATTGAAACCATACACAAATAACCCGCACATAGGAGAGAGGAATTTACGACGACGTTTCGGTCCGACTTGGACCATTTACAAAGTCACATTAACACGAAAGAATGAGGGAGCCAGAATATATAAGTGAGGGGAACAAGAACAGGACCAGGAGAAGAAGAAAAGGAAGTAGAGGTAATGGTAAAGCCGGTAGTGGAAAAAGTAGTAGAAGTAACAGTGGTAGAAGAAAGAAGAGAGAGAGTAATAAAGTTGGTAGAATTACCGACAATATGTAAAGTAAAAGGACACAAGTGCAACATTAGTTGCACTTGTGTCCTTTTACTTTACAAGAGAGAGAGAGTAGATGGAATAGGTAAAATGCACTATTTTATAATAAATAAATTTGAACAAGTTTGTTAGGTGCATATCAAAGTTTGGCGAAGAGACGGTGGGTAAGATTCGTCAGGTAACTGCTGCAAAAATTGTCAACAATATTAGGGAAAGTTTTCAGAAAAATAGGACAGCTCAGTGATGACAACATGAAAATTGGTCGAGAGAGAGAGAGAGAGAGAGAGAGAGAGAGAGAGAGAGAGAGGAGAGAGAGAGAAGAGAGAGAGAGAAGGAGAGAGAGAGAGAGAGAGAGAGAGAGAGACAGAGACAGAGAGAGAGACAGAGAGAGAGACAGAGAGAGACAGAGAGAGACAGAGAGACAGACAGAGAGACAGAGAGAGAGAGACAGAGAGAGAGACAGAGAGAGAGAGAGACAGAGAGAGAGAGAGAGAGAGAGAGAGAGAGAGAGAAGAGAGACAGAAGGAGAAGAGAGAGAGAGAGAGAGAGAGAGATAGAGAGAAGAGAGAGAGAGGAGAGAGAGAGAGAGAGAGAGAGAGAGAGAGAGAGAGAGAGAGAGAGAGAGAGAGACAGACAGACAAACTAAAACTAATGACATGCCCAAGGCACATGTCATTAGTGGAGCACATCTCCAGGCTGAGGGACTGACCACCTCAAACTACTTCAAAGTTGACGGACTGATAACATCATCTCTACCTCTCCACCACTACCGCTCTCTCCGCATTTTCCACCTTACTGTATTCGACTGATGAAACCTACTGTTAAGGCGAAGAGTTATGGAGTAAGGATACCTAACTATTGCACATACGTCTTACTTATATAGATATTACTGCAACATGCGACATGAAGAGAAACAAAGATGCACTAGATACTAGGGAAAATTATTAAAGATGGAGCAGAAATTTAACACTAATAATAATCAATAAGAAATATAATCATAATAATTTCTGAACATTACATTGTATATAGCTGATATACGATAAGGGTTTATATTATCGACAGATATTTAATCGAAAGTCCCCTGGTAAGGCAGAGCATTTCTGACCATCTTAAATCTAACTTACAAGTACTGCATGACTATTAAGCTGGTTTTCCAACCACGTTCCTAACTACTGAATGGTTCGATTTGGATGTAGAATGGTTTGATTTTGTGATTTAGAAGTTTTAATTACCTCATATATAAATATATATATATATATGATATATATATATATAGTATATATAAATATTTTATTATATATATAAATATAGTATATATATATATATATCTATACATATATTATACAATATATATACATAATATATACAAATATATATATATGTATCTATATGTATATATATATAATAGTACATATATATACATATATAATATATGTATATAATATGTCCGTGGCCGAATAGGAGAACTGCGTACTGGCTTAAATAGATGCTTCATCTTGCCATATAGGACAAGCGAAATTTGTGTATGCATATAATTTCCGGCCCAAAATCATTCTGAACCTAACGAAAAAAATATATACTGTGTTTGTTTAAATATTAAATTATTGTAAACAAACCTAAAATATATTTAGTTGGGTTAGGCTAAAATAAATTGCTCTTGTTATAATAAGGTTAGGTAAGTTTTCTAAGATGCTTTTAGTGCAAAATTAAAATTTTTTACATTAACATTAATGAAAAAAATATATCTTTAAACGTATAAAAGAAAATTTTAGAAAGGAGTTAATTTTAAATGAGTTTTTGCTAATTGACCAGTTTTACATATTCGGCACGACATATATATATATATGGTGGTTCGGACATGTAGAGAGAATGGAGCGAAACAGAATGACTTCAAGAGTGTATCAGTCTGTAGTGGAAGGAAGGCGGGGTAGGGGTCGGCCTAGGAAGGGTTGGAGGGAGGGGGTAAAGGAGGTTTTGTGTGCGAGGGGCTTGGACTTCCAGCAGGCATGCGTGAGCGTGTTTGATAGGAGTGAATGGAGACAAATGGTTTTTAATACTTGACGTGGCTGTTGGAGTGGAGCAAAGTAACATTTATTAAGGGATTCAGGGAAACCGGCAGCCGGACTTGAGGTCCTGGAGATGGGAAGATACAGTGCCACTGCACTTCGTGAAGGAGGGGTGTTAAATGTTGCACAAGTTTAAAAACTGTAGTGTAAAGCACCCCTTCTGCAAGACCCGGTGATGGAGTGAATGATGGTGAAAGTTTTTTCCCTTTTTCGGGCCACCCTGCCATGTGGAATCGGGCCGGTTGATAATAAAAAAAAAAAAAAAAATAAATAAAATATATATGATATATAAATATATATATATATTATATATATAATAAATATACTATATATATACTATATATATATATAAATATTTATATACATATATACATACATACATATATATATGCACTACATATAATATAGATATAAATATATATATATATATAGCATACATTATATATATGTATATATATATATATATATTATGTATGTATATGCATGTATATATACAAATATATGTATGTATAATATATATATATATCTTATATATAATTATATATATATATATAATATATATATATATATAAGTATGTAACATATTTTTTATATAACATAGATATATATATATATAATGTAAATATATACTTACAATATACATACATACAATATATATATAAATATAATATATATAATATAAAATGTCCATATATATACATATATATATAAAATATATATATATTACATATATATAATGTATCTATATACATACAATACAATAATATATATATATATATATAATATATATATATATATATATTAAATATATACATATATATATATATATATACAAATATACAAATCTATATATATATTATAAATAAAGATATATATATAAATATGTTTATAAATCTATATATAAATAAAAATATATATATAAGATATATATAATTTTATATATCACACACATACACACATACAGACCAACACACACAACCACACACACACACAAACACACACTCACAACACACACACACACTCACACACACACACAAACACACTCACACACACCCCACCAACCCACACACACACACCACACACACGACACCACACACCCAAAACTCACACACACACACACAACACACACACACACACACACCATACACACACACACACACACACACACACACACAACACACAACAAACACATACATACACACACACACACACGACACACACACACACCACACACACACCACACACACACACAAACCACAACACACACATACCCACCCAACACACCCCACACACACACACACACACTCACACACACACCCACACACGACACACACACACACACACACACACACCCCCCCCCCCACCCCCACAAACACTCACACACACACACACATACACACATAAATAACCACACACCACAACACACACACACACCACACACACACACACGACACCAACAACACACCCACGACACACACCCACCCAGCACACACACACATCCACACACACACACACACACGACCCAACACACACACACACCCACACACACACACACACACCACACACACACACACACACACACACACACACACACACACACACACCACAAACACACGACACTCGACAACAAAGAACAACACCCCAGGTCCTCAACCCCCCACGGCCGTGAGGCCCGCCCCCTCCCCCCAGAACCCCCACCAACCCACCCACCCAGTGTCAAGCCATTCCCGGGAGCAAACCCCAACCTAAATAAACCACACTGGCACACCATTAACACCCCTCCTTACAGAGTGCAGTCACTGTCCCATCCCATATCCATTACTCAATCCGGCCCACCGTTTTTCCCTGCACCCCTAAATAAATGTTACTTGTCTCCCCTCCAACAGCACGTCAAGATATATACCAACCAATATGTCCCAAAACTCCCAATCAAACACCGCTCACGCATGCCTGCTTGAAGTCCCAAGCCCCTGCACACAAAACCCCTTTACCCCCTCTCTCCAACCTTTCTAGGCCGGACCACTACCCCGCCTAACCATCCACTACAGACTTGATACAACTTCTTGAAGTCATTCTGTTTCGCCCATTCCTCTACATGTCTGAACCACCTCAACAACCCTTCCACAGCAGCCCTCTGGACAACAGTTTTGGTAATCCCCGCACCTCCTCTCCTAACTTCCAAACTACGATTCTCTCATTATATTCACACCACACATTGCCCTCATGACATGTCATCTCCACTGCCCTCCAGCCTTCTCCTCGCTGCAACATTCCATCACCATGCTTTCACACCCATAATAAGAGCGTTGGTAAACTATACTCCATACATTCCCCCTCTTTACTTTGGCCTCCAGGACAAAGTTCCCTTGTCTCCACAGACTCCTAAGTGCACCACTCACACTCTTTTCCCCCCTCCATCAATTCTATGATTCAGCCTCAATCTTTCATAGACCCATCCGCTGACAACTCCACTCCCAAATACGAATACATTTACCTCCTCCATACTCTCTCCCTCCAATCTGATATTCAATCTTTTCAT